AAAAAAAAAAAAAAAAAAAAAAAAAAACCTCGTACGGGGCCCCTAGCGTATGAGTAGCGTACGAGTACAAGAGTACGAATCCGTACTTGTACGAGGGTGCGTACAAGTGGCAACGCAGTCATGGCTATGGCAAAAGGTCATCGAGCTGCAAAACTCGGATCAACTATGGCGGACGGAGGTGGAGGGTGGAGAAAAGACATGAGAACACGTCCGTTGGCGAAACAACAAAACCGGGAATTGATTCGGGGTTCAACATGCGGCAACTGCGGCGTTATATCCTACAGGTAGAGACGGGGCATCTGGGAATCTGTTCGGACATCGGACACAGAACATGACAATTCAAGTTACAGAATCTTACCTTCGTCGTGCGTTGAGCGAGCGACCAACGTCGGACGGATATGGATGTGCGACCACCGAACCAGCTATGGTGGAGGGATATCGAGCTAGGAAGAGCGAATCGGCTATGGCAAATGGAAATCTAGCCACGAAGAGCGAGCTACGGAGAGCGAACCGAACACAATGCGGCAACTGCAGACAGAGCGAAGAACGAAGAGCGAACGGGTTATGGCGGAAGGAGGGGGGGGCTAAAGACAAAATATCTGAACACGCGCGGAAGCGATAGCGTGACTTGACCTGTGGAGTGACAACAAAAGGGATAACACGAAGGCGGCAACGCCTTTTATACTTTCCTGCAGCAGGCCTCGCGTCAGGATCAAGGTGGGGCCGTATCGATTCGCAGATCGCACGCTTGGGCCCATAAAACGACAGGGCCTATAAACGGGTAAGAGGTACCAAAAATTGTCAGCCGTCGATCAAAAATTTTCAACGGCGCAGATGAATGGAGCCATGGATATGCCAGTCGCCCCTAAATCTCCGTTAACTCCGGCGTGCAACGATGTGACAGTTCAAGAAAACAAGAGGCAGGCAAGGTCATTTTTGCAGTTGTAATCTGGAGCGTCGATCGACATGATCCGACGCACGAGGTCAGGCGCAAGAATCTATAAGGCACGGCGATTCATTGTGCACCGAGGCGGTTTGTTGCGCGCCGAGGCCAGGCGACGATTTATTTCGCGCCGAGGCGCACTGATTCGTTGTGCGCCGAGGTAAAAAACACTGGAAATCCATAAGTTTCGATGTCGCTATCATTCGGACATTTTGCAAATGTCAACGGCGTTGGATATCGATGCGCTTAGCCATGCATGATCGCCATCGATGCGCTTAGCTCATCGCCATCACCAACGCTCGCCATGCACCATCGCCATTGATGCGCTTAGCTCATGGCCATCGCGACACAAAGCTATATCCCCCATCGCAGCCGTCGTGCTCGCCTAACCATCGCAGCCGTCATGCTCGCCTGACCATCGCAGCCGTCGTGCTCGCCTGACCATCGCAGCGCTGACAATCGCCATCGCTCCCATCGCAGCGCTGACCATCGTTCTCATCGTCACGCCATCTTTCTCATTGTTACGCCATCTCTCTCCGTCGGTGCACCATCTCTCTCCGTCGGTGCGCCATCGCTCTCCGCTGCAGCGCTGACCATCGCTATCGAAGCCCTGGCCAGTGTTATCCCATCGCAGCGCTGGCCATCGCTTTCGCTGATTTGTTGGGCACCTTGGCGCCTTCGCTCTCCGTCGGTGCGCTGACCATCGCACGCGTTCCATCGCTGCGCCATCTTTCTCATCGTCACGCCATCTCTCTTCGTCAGTGCGCCATCGCTCTCCACCGCAGCGCTGGCCATCGCTATCGAAGCCCTGGCAAGTGTTATCCCATCGCAGCACTAATTTGCTGGGCACCTTAGCGCCTTCGCGATCTGTTCTCCATCGCTGCGCGATTTTCCTTCATCGCTCTTGCGCGATCTCTCTCCATTGCCGCACGATCTCCCTCCATTGCTGAGTGATTACTCTCCATCGCACTCCATAACTGCTCGATCTCTGTCGACCACCGCGCAACCTCCATCCCAGCACCAGAGGCTCTCCATCACTCCTACGCAATCCCACCATCGCCATTGTATTGTTGTTGCAGGCCGTCGTTGGTGCAGCCGCCCATCACTGTGGAATCGCATGAAACAAGTGACAGGTATGCTTAACGGAGGTTCAACGCGATGGATGTCACTTTGATAATGGAACTAATGTTGTGCAATAACTAATCTTGGTCATCGCTACGCCAACTCTCTCCATCGACGCGCCATTTATCTCCATCGATGAGCCATCACTAACCATCGCTGTGCCTTCTCTCTCAATCAGTGCGACATCGCTAACCATTGTTGCGCATCCTCTCTCCATCTCTCTCTACCGGTGCACGATCTCTCCCTACCTTTCGTCATCTATCTCCATCGCTACGCTATATCCCCCAATCTATCTCCATCGCCGCGCCATCTATGTCCTTCTCTCTCCTTCGGTGCGCCATCTTTCTCCATTGTTGTGCTATCGCTAACCATCATTGCGCCTGTTATCTCCATTGCTGTGCCATGTTTCTCCATCGGTGTGCAATCTCTCTCCCACGCTGCGACATATCTCTCAATCAGTTCGCGATCTCTTTCTCTTCCTGCGCAATCTACCTTTTTCTCCGGAGTATACAACGCACGTTCATTATAGTTGTCTTTAGACTGAAAGAAGCCCCGAATTCAACTGTAATGACCGGACGTTGTATTCGTGGGAAGACTGTAACTGCATCCATCTCTCTTGGTGCGCCATCTCTCTCAATCGGTGCGCCATCTCCCTCAATCGGTGCGCCATCTCTCCCCATCTATTTTCATCGGCGGGCCGTCTGCCCATCGCTTCGCAATCTTTCTCCATCTTAAAGAATCGTACGCCATCTTTCCCCATTTCTCTCTTGCGACGATCTGTGACTCGTACTACATGCAGAACAAGCGGGAAACAACTTGCACATGTACCCGCAGTTTCGTAATGGAAATGCTCGTTTGCAAGTGCGAATTTATTCACTCTTGAACCAACCAGCCCCCTTAATTTGTTACTATTTAGTCGGTACGTC